TTTTTTTCACTTGGCACCTTTTGAGGTGGATCCCGGCTATGGCAATAATGGTTGAGAAATAGGGATCGAAACCAGCCATGGTTTTCTCCTGATGACCATTGTGAATTGTTGTGTTTTATGGATTATGATGACGGGTTTGCAAACGGATGTTGACCCTTTGAATTGCCTATGGACTTCGAGACTGGATTTTATCTATCCCACATCATTTGAGACTGAATACTCTATCTTTTATGAGTACTAGTATCTACAACGATTTTTGATGTTATGAGTATTGGCTATCAATTTTTTTCAATTTTTCTTCCACATGTATTGTAATGACTTCAGTATGAATGAAATGTCCCTTGGTGTTCTGGTCCTGGATTGTGATATTGGTTCTCGATTGGAGGGGGATGTTAGACACTGTTTCTTTTCACGTTAGATTATGGTTTTGGGATATATAGGGTCTACTTTTCTTATCACAGATTTACACTTACAGTTTGCTTTTCTTGTTGGGTTTCTTTAAAGTTTTTAGTCACCCTTCCCTTTGGCATTTGTGCTTATATATTCTTAAAATTCCACTGGCCATAGCCTTAGAGCTTGTTCAATCATCGATCAAATAAGTTGTATGTTGTATGATTTTGTTGAAAAGTAGCACTACCACGGGTATGTTTGAATCAACTGATATATTTTTCCATCAAAAATAAAACTAAGTTTTATCTCATTATTAGAAAATGTTATCTCAATAATTGAAAGTGCTCAAAACTTAAAAGAAACAATAAAATGCTTAGAAAAGTAAAAAGTAAACTATATAATGTTTCTTATCACAAAAATAAAATTTTAGTAAATATTTTTTATAAATTGAAAAGAATGAGACACATGGCAAACATGTGCTCGTGATTGTTCTCGTGATCACATCATGTAACTTGATTGGATATCGAAGTATGTACATATGCGCTAAATAATCAATCAGTGACAAATAATAGGAGCTTATCACTTTTGTGTATTAATGGATATTTCACGACACGCCTTATATGGAAGTCATCCTCGAAACAGTCCACAGATGATATCAATATATCTTTTAGACAAATAAACAATTGTATTATCCATGGGCTCCCATGTATTATCTAAGCAGCTTCAACAAAAAAGTTATCCCAATCTAATTATTAGTATTATCTAAATGGGAGATGAAGCTGCACCAATAAAAAAACGTTCTCCTGAGAATGAACCCTTTCTGCAGTGTATAAATGGATATTTTAATGACACACCCAATGTACAACTCATCCCGGGGACAAGCCACACATAAAATCAACAGATCATTTTTTGACTGACAATTATAAATGGTAGATTATAGCTGCATCAATAAAAATATAATCAGTTAAAAAGGATTCCAATTTTTTTTATCCCACCCTACGTTATCAAATTATATGATGAGTTTCTAGTAAAAAAAAACAGGAAGGAAAATACCCGTTCATGTATTCTACGTATTTTATTTATTCTTTGTTAGCTCTCGTCATATTCAACAATTGGTTTACCGCACCTGGTAGTAATTTAATTACACAAAAGAATTGCAAAGATAATTTATAGTTGGCACCTATACAGTATATCATTCACAAAATGTTCGATACATGAATGGGTTTGCTTTGAAATCGATCATGACAAGATCATGAATACGTGCAAAACATAACAAACACAGTACATATAAGTACATTACTTGAGTTAACAATGCATGTTATTACATGATACCAACTATTTCTATGGTCATATATGTTTGATGAATTCAATACAGTTTCATCAGAAAAATATTTTATTTATGTTATTTATGTACAGACGGATACATGGTTTGTTCTAGTAAAGCACGAACTGGATGTAACGCTTTTCTACTGACATGTATATTCTTAATTGAATGCCATCTCTCTTAATCATTCCAGATTTGAAGCCAATATTAATAGATTCCAAAGTAATATCATACAACTTAAAATACATAAATAGTTCCATGACTGACTTTGTAAATTAGATACATCAGCTCTCTATAGATTCCAATACACTCAGTTTGATCAATGATAAATTAAGACTGTCGTGATTAGACCCAGTGAAGTATAATTATTATACGTTACCTGGCAACCATTTCCATAGTTGTATCATTGTAGTTTGAGGTTTGGATACTAATTAGACACCATAACATACAGGGTGAGCAAAAATCACAGCCGGACCTCAATCAAACAACTTTCCCTGTTAATATTGGACCTAAATTCCTAAAAATTTCAGGTAAACAATAATTAATGTAATCTTATATGAAGGGTAACTGCAATAACAAGACTATATTTACTTATTGCTTAACTCTACTCTACGCTTTCATATATTTTGTTATTTTGTGATACCTTTGGGTTCAAGCGTAAACTGAAAAATGTAGAAAACATCGGTAATTTTACTTTTATGACAAAAATGAAAACATTCGCTATTCGTTCATTAGTTCCAGTGACAAACATGTCTGTCTTTTCACAATGAACGGAGCAACATCTACAGTCATGATATAGAAGTCATAAATTGTACAACCTGGACCTTTATTCTTTAAATAATCCACAAATTACAGATTAAAACCGGATAAGAGAGAGGCTGTGACAAAATTGCATCCGATAAACTATTTGAAATAATCAGCAAATGTAAAGTAGCTGTGAATGCTGCCAGGAATGTAGAAAATGCTAGAATGCGTAATTACAGTTTATTGGAAGTTTAACTTACACTGCATATCATAGAGTGGCAGAATATAGAATATCTCTTCCGACTTTTGCTCTTTAAACAGGTATCTCAGTGAACTCTTCAGAAAGGGAGGAAAGACAATCGAACCACCACATATATCGATATAATGAGTCTTGATCATAATTAGCCTGTTCCTTCGAAAGGCCAAAATTACTTTTTCTATAAATGGCTAGCCTGTGACAAGATCGAAGGATATGTTGCCCTCTTTTGCTTCATGTCGTAGTTTTGATGCACAAGCTATTTTTGATGCTATATGAAAAGTAGAAATACCAAATAGGTAGAATTTGTTCAATATTTGAATATTTACATAAGGCAAACACCAACATATTAAATTCAGATTATTCAGGAAATGAAAAGAACTAAAGGTAAAACAATGACATGTGTATAAAATGAAGATTCCCACCATGGCCTCGATTATAGAGAGGGGGGCTTTGTTAGCTGTTATAATCAAATTATACCGGGCTTCATACGAGTGCATGCAAATCACAAGGCTTGCCTTATAAAGAGTGTACCATTAATAGTATACAATAAGATCAGTTATAGTGCATCTCCCATTCAACTCAGAATCCTATATAGTATAAGTGCTCAACTTACTTAATATTTTATTTGTTGAGAGTTCAACGACACTTTAATTATAAATCCTATAAAACAATTATTCGTTTCTATAATCGTTACGTACGATGAGTGTTGTAGTGATTTACTGTCTCCATGGTGATATATGCCTATAGTTATATTCTTATCACTTTGTAACAGTATTTGTTCTGTGTTAATTAAGCTGCTGTGAAAAAACACAATCAGTACATGGATCGTGTCCTAGAAACTTGCTTCACTTGGGTTTCAAATTAATATAGCTACCAAGACCTGGACGTAATCAATTCCACGGACACTTGGTATTTCAGCTCCTGTAGACAGATTGAAGAACATTAGAAAAGGGTAAATAAGGGACTGATCAATAACTATGACCGCATAGACTTTCTGACTGCACATCAAATTGGCTTTAATGTTTGTAGTTTTTCTTTTTGTTACTTGTTACAAATCAGTAATGCCTTGCTCTTAAATAAACCATGGCCTACACCTGAGAAACTGAATGTGCTCCGATACGAGTCGTCAAACTTATCCGATCGCATATGTTTGGTATAGGATCGCCATCCGGAGAGGGGGGGGGGGGCGATCATGATCATGTCATATCTAGATTTTTGTGTGGTGATTATCCACGAGCGGACAATACACAGGCCAATTTACGTTTTTAATCAGTTAGATAAAATCGGGAGGTGTGAAGCTTGTCGTACTCTTCTACATCAACCCATATGTATGACATTTTCATTTAGTTATTTCCACGTGTCATAGCCTGTATAATGTTGTAATTTTTGTAATGAAAACTGAAATAAATTATTTTGAAATTGAATTGAATTGAATTGAACAAGTATACGCTCCAGGGCATATCTCCCGCTTTTAAAAAAAAAATGTTGAAACTAAATTTGAAAAAAAATTTAAAAATATGAAAAAATGACAAAAAAATTTAAAAAATGAGAAAACTACTGGGTATAGGATAAAGCAGTAATGTACGGTCGGTTTGGATATGAGGTTTATCCCTCGTGAAATAAGTACATCTACCTTCGGTCCCTCAGGTAGATATGCATATCTCCCTCTGGATAAACCCCATATCCAAAACCTCCCAGTACATAACCCTTATGTATCTCATACTTGAGTGGGTTTGGGGTAGATATCACCCGGGAATATATATCGTATCTGAGGAGCGGGCAGGATATATTGTATATGTCCCGCTCCAGGCCAAATGCGGACAGATATAATATATCCAACCCGCTCCCGGGAATTTTTCAAAAGTTTAAATATCAAAAGTTTCAATTTTTTAATTTTAAAATTTAATTTTTTAAAGTTTAAATGTTACAATTTCATTGTATTGAACAAAAATAATATTACGAAAATGTTAGATATAAATATCTTGTCATTTGAAAAAGGTGGAAAAGGTTATATCTACCCTAAACCTACTCAAGTATGAGATACACCAGTTATGCACGGTCGGTTTGGATACATGGAATTTGCCTTGGGATATACAATACATCTTCCCTCGGTCCCTTCGGACCCTCGGGAAGATATATTGTATATCCCTCGGGATATTCACTGTATCCAAAACCTCCCAGCGCATAACCCCTATGTATTTGTGAGATATAGCAGCTGCATTTTTGGGTATAGTTTTCCTTTAAAACAAGAAAATCATTGAGAAAATGTTCTTCCATTTTCAGATAGCTGCTTTCTGCTGTCCAATGCTCGTATTCTGGATTACCCAATCGTGTATTCTAATGATGGCTTCTGCAAGTTGTCAGGCTACAATAGGGCAGAGATAATGCAGAAGAGCTCCACGTGTACGTTCATGGTTGGGGATCTTACGGACAAAGACACCATGAAAAAAATTGATAAAGCATTTGAAGATCAGGAACAAATACAAGTGGAAATATTGCTGTATAAAAAGAATAGTGAGTAAAAACGCTTTTGTTTTCACTAGATAATATAAAAGGTGTAGTAAAGTCTTTTGAAAGCAAACAAGGTCGTTTGGTGATAATCCATATGATACTGGCCATGGTACATATCATTTTTTATTGAATTTAAGGCACGTAGTCCAGAGTTTTAAATCAAGCATTGAAAAGAAGAATGTGTAATATATCGAACGCACCTACATTCAGTAATCCGAATGAATAGTACGTCGAGTATTAGAGGTCAATGGTCTAGGATATATGTGTGTCCCATTTAATTTGTGTTGTTTTTATTTGTTACGAACGTATCTAAAGACAATGATTCAGGTGTGCCTCAGTAATTAGACAGACATTCAGACAATGAAGTAAATCTGATAACTGTTATTCTCGTATGATAGACGGTATATAATCCCAGATTAGACGCTGATAAAAACATGAGATGATACTGTTTTATAGAACAATGCTTGATTTCTAGCAATTGTTATGATATCGTGATGTTCGACCACAACTATTGAAACACCTGCTTCTCTATCATTTACCATGTAGTTGTCATGATTATCGGGATACGGACTTATATATGTGTCATAAATACCACGTACCTTTGCCATAATACAGAGTAACAGATTATTTTGAGTGGCATTAGTAGTTACTCGTTTCAGCATGTGATACGGAAATATCCCACGAAAGTAAAAATTGTATCACCACGAAAGCGCAGCAATCAAATCACTAGAAGTTTACATAGCATGTGATAATATTTGTTATCGACGAGTTTTTTTGTTTTTTTATTCCTTTTTTTATTCATTGAAAAAACATTTGAAAGCAGTTACATTAACACATACAATATACAAAATATCATAGGAGTCACACAATTTTCCATCATATTCTATTTTTTAAGGCATCCAACCACACTAGTCTAATCTAATCTAGTACCCATAATTTCGACAATTAATAATAAATAATTACACATATCGACGAGTTGATATCAAATATCACGCGAGTGAGCGAAGCGAAGCGATTTTCTGAAATATCAAACGGATCTCCTTAAGTATAAAATCAGGATCTGTCGGTGTACAGATAAAATAATAATCCTTGGATATACACTATTGCACTATAAGCTACACTATTCCAATAAAATTACTCTGTGAACCTATTTTTGGCATGATTTACATGCTGAAGATATTAATGGAAGTATTAATTGACAATGGAAACGTCTCATAACTGTCTGAATAAGTTAGCGTATGCTGCCAACAGTAATAGCAATTTATATTTTCAGAAAAACGATATATCACCTGAAGATATATTTGATATGTGCGAAATTCAAGATCATAAATGACCAAAAATCACATAACCTTCGATTATCAAATCCCTAGAACAATCGAATATCACGTCATAAAAATGATTTTTGTATATTAATAAACTGATATTTTTCAAAAAAAAGTATATTCATTTTTCTAAATAATTCAGAATTGAACATACCATGCTTGGGGCATTTGGTTCATGAACAACTCTTCAAAATTAGTTCCGAAACAATTTGTGATGATGAAAGATATTGCATTTGCATCATTCCATGCAAACTTTCTCATGGATTCAAATTCTCGAACAATTGGTTCTTCTAATGAGTATTTAGAGAAATATTGTAAATGATGGGGCGTCAAGTTTGAATCTCACTGAAAACTGTTTGACGTACTTTAAAGCGATCATTTTGTGCCTATATCTATCTGTAGATCGGATGAGATTTGAGGTTTCATTAATTGCTTACTTTGAAAATTTATTTCTCTCTTTAAATAATAGTAATCACGCCTAACCATCGATAACGTACAGTGACAAAATATACCGTCGTACACTTTGGATGTACGGTGTCACTATTTAACCGATTTGAAGCAAAGACAATGATGTAGGTTTGATGTTGGTTTTAAAAATAATCTGAGGAATACATTAAGGATTTCATGTTTGATTTTGTGTGTATTCGTTTGGGAAAACATTTAACTTTCTGATAAGTTTGAAAGATTTTCGAGCAGTGCTCGATTTGTTGTGCCTGACGTCTAAGAGTGTCGGATATTTTTATGAGAATATGTTTCTCCAAACTACACAATTTAGGACGGGTGGAGATTAATAAATATTCAAGTATTTATTGTAATTTAAAGAAATCAGAAATGTGCGTTGTCAACTCGAATGTACGTTGTTACTGTAATTGAAATTCATGAGATATAATATAAAACAATGTAATGATTTCATTTCAAAATTCATTAAAGTTTTTATAAATAACAAGTGATCTTTAACGAACATGTTCAAGTATCCTTTGTACAGATGATTTTAAAGATAAGGCAAATGTGATTTTTTGCTTTTTCATTTTATGAAAGTATTGTTGTGTTGGTGGGTAATTTGTGCCTATTGGGTGTTGGCTTCCAGTCCCAACTCCCATTCAGTGTCTCAGAATAGAATATGTTGAAGACTAGCACTGCCACGGAGTTTGCTTTCAGCCTCTTTGATTATTTGGCGTCTGTACCTTACGTTTTGTTAGTTACATTAATAGATACATTATTTATACTTGCTAATTGAATATGAATTTTGAAAATCCCGTTTACGATATATCTGGAAAGTGCTCAATAGTTTCAATAATTGAATCAAATTGAAGTTATTCTGTAATTGTTCTGTTTCAATTTTAAATTCATCTGACCCCCTGTATGTAAGTGTTATGAAAAATACGTTGCATGCATTACCGGGATTAACTGTGAATTGAGTAAGTTGAATGGGACAACGTACATTCGAGTTGACAACGTACACTTATGATTTTTTAGATTATAGCCAAAACGTTAATACTTATTAAATCTTCATCAGACCTTAATTGTGTAGTTTAAAGAAACATATTCTCATGAAAATATTCGACACTCTTAGACGACAGGGGAGGAAATGATCAAAGGAAATGTGTAAAAAACAACATTTTGCAACCGACCAGTTATATGCATTGGGTAGATTTACCACGAAAAAATCGAGCACTGTTTGAAAATATTTTAACGTTACTAGAAAGTTAAATGTCTTCCCAAACGAATACACACGAAATCAAATTTGAAATCCTTAATGTATTGCTCAGATATTTTTTTAAAACCTACTTCAAATCTACATCATTGTCTTTGCTTCAAACCGGTTAATAGTGACACCGTACATCTAAAGTGTACGACGACGTGTTTTGTCATTGTATGTTGTCGATGGTTAGGCGTGGTAATGTGGTATTTTCTCATGCAAGTAACATTTTGATAGACCATCAAATGTATGTTTTGGCATCAAGTTTCCACTACATTTAATCTCGTCGAAATGGTCGTGCCAGAGCAAACAGTTTTGTTTCATGGTAAAACAGGGCTATCAAAAATTATCATCCGAAGAACGGATTTACCTCTGTAATTATAGGTTAAAAAATGATCACGTGAGTTTTATAGTCATTTAGACGATAATGGGCCATGTTATAATGAAAACGAGTGCACTTTCTGTTTTTAAAAAAGAAATATGTGAATGACCTGAGTACTAGTAATTGCTATTCATAGTCTCTGGAATCGTCCATGGCATTGACATACCCAGAATGGACTTGTCAGTTGAAATGAGTATTGCTCTTTTATTTTAGATATTTTGTCTTTGTTCTGATATAAGCACACCTACATTTCATTGATTAAACTCATGATTGTTCATGCGTTCGAGATGTAATTGTCGCCATGACATGTCAATTGAAAACCGTCACACTGACATATTGAACGTTGCTATTGTAATGAGAATTATATTTGTTCGATTTTACCTGTGGAAATGTGTGATTAGAACAGTATTATTTAAACCATCTTTAATCCAATTTTATTTTACTTTTTTCATGAACTGCGAGAGCAGCAAAGCCTGATTCTAAAGAATGGATATTCATTTTGTTAAAAGCATACTTTTAAGTCCAAAAGCAGGCATAAGTATGTGAGACCATTCATACACGATTTAATTGCTTTTTGACATGAATTTCAGTTACAATTCGTACTTCTAGTCAACGGTTCAATGTATTCTTTTTTTCAAAGCAAGTTGTACTCAATAAATGTTACATACATTGACAATTATCCCATGGTCAACGGTTAAATATATGTTTCATTTCAAAGTACTTTACTCAATAAGTGCTACGTACATTGACAGTTATCCCATGGTCAACGGTTGAATATATGTTTTCTTTCAAGGTACTGTGCCTTATAAATTTAACACACTTTGACAATTATTGTCTATGGTCAAATATTGAATATACGTTTACATTCTAAGTACTGTACACGAAAAGTAATATATCATGATCATTTTTCCCATTGTCAACGGTTGACAAAAATGTTTCCTAAATGCAAGTATTGTACTTTAAAAAGAAATATAATATTATTCCTTTGCAAGGTCAAAAGTTTATATTAAATATGTTTTCTTTCTGAGTACTGAAATTTTAAAGTAATATGATATGAACAATTTTTTCCTGCTAACAGTTCAAGATATATTCTCTTTTCAAGTTTCAAGTACTTTGTATAAGAGTAATGTTTTGCACCGTCATCTGTTGAATATATACATTTTCTTTCCAAGTTATCTTCCTTACAATGCCTAATCACTACATGATATCTCAAGTGTGTGTGCATGTATTTACAGGGACGCCACTATGGCTATTGCTACACATTGCCCCCATCAAAAACGAGAAGGACGCGGTGGTTCTCTATCTATGCACATTCCGAGATATCACCGCCCTAAAGCAGCCCATCGAAGAAGACAATGGGAAAAGTATGAACCCCGGTTGGTTAATGTTCCAAAAGCTCATTTTGTACTATTATTTAGTACTTCCTAGATAGACGTCGTTGTCACACGGAATGGGATATTATTTTCCTCCTTTTACACCAGTAGAATTTTATTATACACTACCCAAAATACCTTGAAAAAATGAACACATTGAGAATTCTGCTCTATAAACATTTATTTAGTTGACAAATGATTGTCAAACATAGTGCATGCAAGTAGCTGTCTTTGAATCAATTTGATCACATGTTTACGTTTTGATATTATTTCTATAACATATACAATGCCTATCAATAATACACATAGTGTGCACTATACTATATTATATAACACTATAAAAATATCAAACATCAATGTTCAAACATCTGTGGAGCCATGTATATAAGCTACACTTTCAAAATTTTAGTCAACGATTGTCTCGTCAAATTATGACTTTAATATTTATTTTGGGTAGTGTATCTACAAAACGTAAGTGTTATTTTATTACTGATTTATCTTAATATCCTGTAGCATATTTTAATTAATGATGAGTTTCTAACCCCGGTGTTGGTTTCATAAACCACTATTTATATCTAAGAACTAATTATAGATTCTTGCTAGTGTTTCTTTTATATGATTAGACATTCAAGCAACAATACGAAACTATCCTTTAATTTCAAACTCTATTTTCACAGATGTGTTGTACATTTTCTTATCTTCAAGCATTACAATTGTGATAGCAACGGAATTTTAGCTCACATAGGTCAGCTACTGTTTTCTCCCACCTCACAAACACCTGTGGCAGTGTGTTCCAGCCATTGTTTCAAACCAAATTGTGTCTCAAAGTCAGAAAGCTCACCTCATTGCAAAGAAACGATTATTATTGTCTCTAAGCTTCATATTTATTTCACGTATTTAACATTTTACAGAAAGCTTGATTTATCGGGTGCCTGCAATGTGGTTTCTAGTTTTCAGCAAAACATTTAGAAAAAAATCTAAAATACAATGGCTGACACCTTTGTTGAGACTACCTTCCTTTGTGAGCAAAGTATACGTACCCATGGTACTTTTTCTCTCTATATGTATTAGATCAAATATTTAGAAGTATCCGCATGAAATTTTATTAATATTTATGTTTTAATATTTAAACAATCCTGCTTACTGGAGACATGTTTAAAGTCAATTCAAGGTCATGTGTTAAGGTGCCATGGAAGTTAACAGGAAATGACAAAACAAAAAGTGACAAACCCATGCTGGATTTTAAATTTTTTTAGAAGCAAGATAACAGAGTTCTGTTTGGACACCCAGTCAGTTTAACTAGTTCCACATATCATTTACATGACCGGGGACACAATGGAAATGGTCAAAATGACCATAAACATGATGAAATAACCTTTTCAGTCCTCTGAAAATGTGACTGAAAAATAGCTAAAAGTAGGTGCTTAGGAAAGGTCAGTGAACAGAATCTTTTGATTTTTTTCAGAAAATGGGTCCAATATATTGCTCTAAATGATACAATCTTTGAAATTTTTAAAAATTGTCCGAAACAATAATGGCTGTAGTAAAAAGGAAAACAGATCGATTTTCAATTCAGTTTTTTCATTTTTTTCTTTTTCTAAGTATGATATCAATTTTTTTAAATTGTATCATTTAGAGCAATATATTAGGCACATTTTCTGAAAAAGTCAAAAGATTTTGTTCAGTGACCTTTCCTGAGCACCTACTCTTAGCTATTTTTTTAGTCACATTTCAGAGGGCTGAAAAGGTTATTTCATCATGTTTTGGTCATTCTGACCATTTCTATTTTGTTCCCGGTCATGTAAATGATATGTGGAACTAGTTAAACTGACTGGGTGTCCAAACAGAACTCTGTTATATTGGTTCAATTAATTTCAAAATCCAGCATGGTTTTGTCACTTTTTGTTTTGTCATTTCCTGTTAACTTCAATGGCACCTAATTAAATAGTCAAAATGTGAATGCAATGGAGGTTAACGCTATGTTTGTTAATTTGAAGCGGAGTTTAGACTTTAGATTTATTACAAATAATACTCCGTTTAACATTAACTCCACCTTGAAGTAATGTGAGATTTGAAAGCTCAAGGTCAAGGTTAATCAACTAAATGTCAAAATGATGATGGGTATTCTTTCAAAAGATATGAAAAACAAATGTTGTACTGCTAGTTTAAAAATATATCATTTAATATTAAATGAATATAATCCTATGATGCAGTGTACTAGTGTTTTAGGGTCTCAAATAAGTATACACGCAGACAGAATAGTTGCAGGATATTTACATCCTCTATTGTGCAATATAAATAAATTATTATCCTCTTTGTCAACGTTGTTGTCATAGCAACAGCTTGTTAATATAAGGGCATGGTGGAAAATGATCAAAAGAATAATTTACACTCTTTATATTTCAGTGAATTTGAGCAAGTTTGCTCGTCTGGCAAGGTCAGTGACGCGGAACCGGTCGGTGCTCCTACAGTTTTCTTCGCAGGTGCCCACCCCAAACACAAAAGCAATAGATTCCAAACCTTCACAGATAGCAAGTGTAAGTACATGGAGACCGACAAAATCAAACACAACACATGTACATAAGATAGTTTAATTTTCATGTCTGTATGGTCTGAATAGAAAGTTGAATACACTATTTACTCGAACTTTATATTATAAGCCTGTTTTGACCTATATAAAGAGAAAATTGTTTTCCAAAATCTTGAAAACGTTTGCCGAAAACTTCGCCAAATGGCTTTATTTATTATATAATACATATACAGGGTGTCCAAGAAGTAACGTCAATGACAATTTGTCATTTATGCTTCAAATGTTATGAAACTTGGTCAGAATGTTCCTTGTACATTTATAAATATAAATATGAAGTATGGAGTTACTAGGATTTGATTGGCCGGTTTTATGGTTACCATAGTAACACAAGTGCATGGACCCAGGGTCATTTATGTTACTTCTTGGACACCCTGAATGTTCGTAATACTTACAAAACAAAGAATTGAAATCATTAAAAAAATAACAGCATTAGTCATAATGAGAAATCATGGCCTTCTATTAATTCCTTTCCAGAGGCACATTTCTAGTTGAAAAACAGAAAACGTTATGAGTAACAGAATGAGCATTTGCATATGTAAAAACAACTTTTTTCAATTTACACCATAAAACCATTATTTCACAACCCCTCGATAGTTTCTATTAGAATCCTGTGTCAAGCCGTTTCTGGAATTTACAGCTTTCTCCGATGGTGCTACACAATTACCAAGCGATGGAAAAACATTATCAATAAATATTTATGAACTGAATAGGATGGTTTGTAAATCACCGCAAGGCGGACATAAATGAATACTCACCTTCCAAGGTAATGCTGGAAATGGAACTCCCCCTGGTGAATTGATTGCATTGAGCAAACAGTATATCTTATGCATGCTCAACAGTAACAGTCCCTTACAACTGCCGATTGACCGATTGATAAAACATTGTGGGGGGTGGAACATAACAAGAAAAAAAGGTTAATTATCGCACCCTAAGGTGCTATATTGTAATCAGTTTTTCGGCATTCTTGGTAAATGTTAAGGCGGCCATTTTGGATTTTTCGTCCTAAAATCGTGTCTGTGAAGGCTTGTTTTAAAAAATAAAAAAGAATTTCCCATTGAGAGCAATGTAAAATTTTAAAAAAAATTTAAAAATAACTAAACGGTCAATCTTTCCAATTTTCACATATTTTGTATTACATCAGTATATCTTTCACCAGGATTTTTTTCAGGAAAATCTGAATTGTAGAAAAAAAGCTGATACACTGTGAAGTAATACCTTAAAACGTGTCTCTTGAGGGTTGTTTACAGGTTTCACGGATTCATCCTAGAATTTTAGAGATGTTTCTATCATGGAAAGTTTAGAACTGATTAGTTTTTAGGCAATCTGGGTAAATGTTCAGGTGGCCATTTTGAATTTTCCATCCCGAAAAGTGTATTCTGTTCAAGGGTGCGATTCTGTTCACCCTGTGGCTTGTGTTTTAATAGTATAGTTTCCATATAGCTTTTGAAATCTCGCTAAATCTCGTTTTTCGTGAGATTTTAAGAGATTTGCATAATTTATTTAACCTCTAATGACTTACATTACCTTCTTTTAAATGGCATATTTGAATTCAGTGAAATGTTTTCCCCTAGAATAGCTTTGATTTGCACAGTTATGTAATTTGAATAATTTTCTATGACAATTTAAAAAAAACTTGGGCCAAATCTCCATAGATGCAATGCTAAAAATCTTTAAAACCCTGGATTATTTGTATGTCAACCAACATTTGCACGTTTCATCACAACACGTTCATAAACAGGGTCATCATGTAGTATATCATCCAAGTTTTATACAGATTCAACTAACACTCTTTGATAAATCATGAAATTAAGCCACTTTTCCAAGATTTTAGCATGTAAGTTAAGGGAGCTCTAGCCCAAGTTAAAAGCTGAATAAAAGATGGCAGCACTAGATTTCATTGCTTTTTCTGCTATTTAGAAACTATCCTATTGGTGAAAAACTGTGGTCACTGAGATATATTTCCAAGTTGATTTTGATGACCTATTTTCACTCAGACGCATTACGCATTTTTTCCTATTTACTTCGTCGGAAATCTTGGGGAGCTTCCAATTTAACATTCAAAGATATCATAGATTTGACATTTGACATGAAGAAGGTAGATATAAGCTAGCTATGGGTAATTTAAATTCAAAAATAACCATTGTACCGCACCGGTCACACAATTGTACCCGACCGGTCATTATTTTCGCGACTCATTGAAACACCACACAACTAGTGCATACTGCACTTCAAATACATATCTGGCCACAAATGGTTTTAAGAAAAGTATTTAATAATATTAGCTGAAATAAGTTGGTACATTCAGAGCTACCGTCTTATATATAATATTGGTATTTTACTGAGACTACAGTGTAGTTCGTTAAAATATAGGGATTTGCCTTCTTTAACAAAAAATGGCAAATGTGAACTTGGACGATCTCATAGTGATAAAACGATAATTTTTTTATTTAAAAATCGGGTCTTTATTTTTCGTTTGTTACGAAACCTGAATGCTTTCGTATTATAATGTCTAATAAGCGAACGATCACGTTATACATTGTTATTCTGATATCTCCAAATATACAGGATATCAATTATTTACATCTACCCTTCTGTCCTCTTGCAATATAGATTGACGCTTCATTTTGTCCTTACCGTTATTGAATATAGCAAGTCATGTTCATGCCTCTGTTTTCACATGGAAATATATTGCGACATACATAAAGATTGATATCGGTATTAACAGAATCGGATTCATCCATGGTCGGCTCTTTTTCAAACCGTTGAGCTTTTCATTCAAGTCTCTCTACTTCTAGACCTCCCAAGCGGTTGATGAAGTATTATTATTAAGCTTAAATACAAACGATACCTGTATAGTTACCATAGAAACTGTAGGTAACACTTTTTGCAATACGTTTTGAACATCGGAGTGTCGTTCTGTAATACCGTAGTACCCACCCAAAAATGATCTAGAAAAGTATATAATCTGATCTGAATCACGGACAATGGTGCCGCTCCTATAGTTAGTCATTAGGTTCTTTTAATGGTTTCTAATGGTCCTACACTGTTCGCAAAAAGCCACTGATATATTTTATTTATCGGTTAACAAAAGAGCTGTCCAACAGATCCCTGCTCCTCTGGCAAAATAAACCAATGACGAACAATGCAAATTGATTTTTACTCAGTATTCTTTATTCAATAACCATATAGTCTGCATGTTAATACGGTGATATATAAAGATTTAATGATTATTAGATTCTCAATAGATACCTATGGCATGTAATCAAGTGGAGAATTATGTCAAAGCACGAAGGGAATAGTTCTATGTTCAATTAACTTTCTGTTTCTCGATCAATCAGTGCTTGAAAATACTGCTCCATGATAACATCGTGTATTAAAGATGGCAGAGCATTGAGGCTTATCTCGACGAAACATTGTAAAAATCACAGATTAGCTCGTAGTCTCGCGTGAAACTCGATGATCTGTGCTCTCCTTTCCAACCCTCTCGTGTAGTCTCAATGAGAAATCATGACCTTCTACTAGCCTTGAGTATTTCTGGCTGAAGACAGAAAGATGTGATGAGTATCAGAATGCTCTTCGGTAGTCTCAATGATAATATCGTTGTGTTAAACTCCTGGAGTAAGACTTGTTAAGAAGCAGCATTGCAACTATGTCCATTCTTTGTCCATTCATCCATTATAATATACCTTGGTGTTCTTTCAGCAGAGGCAATCTGCTAATAGGAGATGTGATGAGGATCAGGTTGATAGTTTTCATGAGTATGAGCAATTTTTAAACAAATTATGTATGTTTATAGAATACAAAGGTCGAGGGTCATTACAAGGTCATTGTTTCTAGCGTGCACCCCATTCGCATACCTGCCAACCTACCGTATTTTTAAGGGAATCTACCGTAAAATTTTCGTTTTTCCGTAAAAATGACAAACTACCGTAAAAAATTACCATTTTTTCCCTTAAAAACGACCGTAAAAACATCTACCGTAATTTTACCGAAATCTACCGTAACATTTTTTATTTTAATTTGTTTCTATACGAATGGCCGTAAAATATACCGTAAGTATTTGGAAATCTACCGTATTTCTGCCGAAATTACCAGTATTCTTATTCAAACTACCGTAAAATCTACCGTTATTATCTGAAAATTCTGAAAAATTGAAGTCTTCCCGCATTGCCCTTGTAATATTCCATTACTAGCCCGAAAATTAATAGTTGTCGGCAGGTCTGTGACAGTGGTTATTGCGTACTTGTAACTAAGTAAGCTGGCATGTAATCAGTCAACACACTGGGGAGTATCGTGATGCAAAAACACAGTGTTAACTACCACATGTTCTACTGTTACTTATAAAAACTCTGAAGTGTTCAAATTGTTAGTCTGTTTATGAAAGAGTTCCATGAATGCTGTGTTAGAAAAACATACTTTATTATTCATTGAATTGTGTCAAAATCTACGCAAAATCTGTTTTTTAATCTACCGCAAAAACTAACACATTTTTTTCAAAATGTTCCGCAAAACTACAGTTTTTTTCAAATGTCTACTGCAAAAACTTCAGCATTTTTCAAAATCTACCGTAAAACTACCACATTTTTCAAACTCTTCCGCAAAACTACCCTTTTTCAAAAATCTACCGCAAAACTACGGCATTTTTCAAAACCTACCGTAAAACTTCCGCAATTTTCAAAAACTTCCAAAAAGGTACCGTTTTTTTCGAAAATCTACCGTAAAACTACCGCATTTTTGTCGAAAAATACCGCAAAAACTACCGCATTTACCATCACATCTCGCTGTCAATCAGGTCATATTCAGTACATGTATTTGCATGATTTTGCGATATTTCTGTATAATGGTAATATGACTATGAATAATTCATCTCGTATTTCATCTCGTTAATATAAGTGCATAGAGGTAGCCATTCAATTCAATATACTGGTGGTTGGTGAATTGGTAATCATGATAGGAAAGACAAAAACAATGGATCGTTCACAATAGCATATAGTTTTAAAATAGCAACACAATAAGAGAGTTTCAAATGTCTGAAGCAATCTATTAGGTCTTTTATGTTCGAAAAAATGTTAGAGATTTTAGATTAAATATGACAATAATTGACGATTTGAAATTGACGATTTTTTAGAATTGAAAATGGCTACGCCCATAGCTTGTTTAGAATCATCACAATATGCTGGAAATCAAAGCTTTGCTTGAGTCAGAACTCTAGGAAATTTTAGGTTTAGTAGCCTACATGTATTCCATGAATACGTTGAATAAATAATATTATAAGTTATTGAATGATATGAAGTGAAATACATGATATATTCTGCTCGAGGAATTCCGTATTGGAACGAGACGATGTCGAGTGCCAATACAGAATATCGAGAGCAGAATATATCTTGTATTGCATTTCAAATCATTTTATAACATTTTTATCGTCTGATCCTCTGTATTGCTATTGAGAATGTCCCCTCTGTACCAATATTTTCTGTATTGCGACGGAGATGATCAATGGGGACAATAGCAATTCAGATTGGTACAGCACAAGAACTGGCCAATCAGAAGGCTTCATTCTACAGATCATACGATGACATCAAATCTCTTTTTCATCCTCTCTTTTTTCACTGCTCCATGTGTTAGACTAATGGTGTGTTGTCCACATGAAATGAAAATAATAATGTCTAGATGAGCGCACTACATTATCAAATAATAAACAAACAAATGCACAAACAAACAAACAAGTAAACATAAACAACGATGTTAACAGGTATATTTTGTAACTGCAGATGATGAACCTGACCTCAGATGCCCTGCCCCAATACAGACAGGAGACACCAAAGACGCCTCCACACATCATCCTCCATTACTCAGTGTTCAAGGCAACGTGGGACTGGGTCATTCTTATGCTTACCCTCTACACGGCAGTTATGGTGGGTACTTTTACCAACCGCGTGTCAGTGTCGTGCAAGGGATATATTTTGGACTTAAAAGCCCACAATTGTATTTAGATAGATGTGTATATAAATGGAGATGAAGTTGTTTTGTAACATGGTCGACCATATTTTTCAAATTGATTTATATGTTTCATCTTTTCACAATTAACATGTGTATAAGATCAAGAGGAACTCTAGAGCAAGTCACAGAGAATTAAATCAGCTTTCACATGGTACTATTTCTTAACTGGTTAGATAAAGTATTAATTGAGAAATTTGAGTAGAGAACTTTGCATGTCCACCTACTGAATTGAGGTTTCCTTAAGTTCCCTTTCACTTCTTCAAGTATGGGCCAAATGACTCTTTAATAAGCCACTGTGCTTAAGTAGTTAAATATATTTTGTATAAGCCAAGACTCAAAGTATCTGGCTCAAGCCATAGGTATTTTGAAAGGCGTACCATTATCTGTGATGGAGCGCCTGATAATTATTTAATTGTAAATTATATCCTGATCGTCGTACTTGATAGAACGGGATAGAATTTCCTTTGAATCCTGCTAGCTATGTCAACTCTTGTTGTAAATCATGTGTACTTCTAGCCTATCACAAAGATATTGTCAGGAATTCTGTTGACAATGATTTATTCTTGTGTCAGTGTGTTTGCACAAGTCTCGGTGTCTCATCATTCTATTTGATGTATTTTTATTCAGTAGTATAACGTGACACACTAGAATGGTTTCGCACAACGCAACACAAAAATAAACTCACTTTTTATATGTTTAAATGACTTTCTAGAAAGATTTCACTTCTACCATAGAAAAGCACATATATGGCCTTATCTACAATAAACAACACATACTAAAGATAAATGATGTGATCATTAGTAAACTTTTATGAGATGAACTATATAAAAATGTTGACTCACATCAACATTTACTATTTTTTTTCTTAAATACACTGTATCAATGTATCTCCTTTTTCATAAAGGGCAATAATTAGAGGTTATGTCACTATGACGTGAAATATGCCTGAGTTCTCCCAATATAGGCCGACCTTGGGAGGCTCTATATTTGGGCAAGAACGAAGGCATATTTCACGTCATAGTGACATAACTGATGTATTACATGCCTTTGTTCCCATGGTTACTTTGTATCAATGACGTGACGTCATGATATTATCATGGTTATTAAAGAAATCTAATATCAAAACGAGGTAAGCGGGCTATATCGGGGTAATCGGGCAATATCGGTGGATATAGCTCGCTAACTTTCCCATTGACTTTCATACAAATGCTTCGCTAGGTATGTAATACAGATGTATACATAATACACATTTTACTTCCGCGTTTTACAGGTTCCTTATAACGTGGCTTTCAAAAATAAACAAATGGACGATGTTCCTCTACTGGTCGCGGACAGTATAGTAGATGTCATATTCTTCATTGATATCATCTTGAACTTCCACACGACATTCGTTGGGCCTAACGGTGAGGTTGTCTCAGACCCTAAGATCATCAGGATGAACTATTTGAAGAGTTGGTTTGTGATTGACCTACTCTCTTGTCTCCCTTATGACGTCTTCAATGCTTTCCAACACGTCGAAGAAGTAAGTAAACACGTGATGATCAAGAGATAAAGTGTGGTTAATTATACACCTTTTGTGCTCTCAAAGTGCTGCAAGTAATAAATCTGAATAAATAGTATCATAAAACAAGTGTCAGTTATATGTAGCTATCAGTGTAATAATATTGGGTATTAAGAAATATATAATATAAATTTTAAATAAAATAGTGTAAGACTTCAGAGAATGTGAATAAAACTGAACCTTAAAACGCCATGACTTAAAATTCACATTTCCATTTTCTTTTTCCAGCATATCAGCAGTTTATTCAGTGCATTGAAGGTTGTCCGTCTCCTACGTTTGGGTCGTGTGGCACGTAAACTTGACCATTATCTGGAATATGGTGCTGCTGTCCTTGTACTGCTGATTGTAATGTTTGTTGTTATTGCTCACTGGTTCGCTTGTATATGGTACAGTATAGGATACGCCGAGGCCTCCACTCAAACCCCCCTACACTATGGCTGGCTCTGGAGACTGAGCACCCTAGTGAATAAGAACTATACTGGAATTAATAACATAACTAAGGAATTGATTGGCGGCCCGGGGAAGGGAGAGACATACTGCACTGCCCTCTATTACACACTGTCCTGTATGACCAGTGTGGGATTTGGAAATGTATCCGCCAACACAGAGTTAGAGAAGATCTTCTCGATATGCATGATGATTCTTGGATGTACGTATATTCACGCTACTTTGAATTGTGTAATGTGTTTTCTATAGATTAAAATCTAGAAGAAAAGAGTTAACAACTTACTATATCTAGGAATCAAACTCGACACCCTTTTTGTTAAAAGATAACTCTGTCCTTTTGGAACAGAAATATTGTTGAAATAGTATTCCTAGACAAAGAACCATGGGGACAATTATTGGATGGTCAAAGATCTTGTGGATGCATAATCAATTAATCATGGGGGCTGATTGTGCATATAAACTGTACTTGGAGCTAATGGTGAATATATAATTGTACTTGATTAATTTGATCAATTATTACTTTTCAGCATTACTTTATGCTACCATATTTGGTAACGTTACAACGATTTTCCAACAGATGTACTCTACTAGTGCAAGATATCATGATATGTTGAACAACGTTCGAGAGTTCATGAAGACAAATGAAATCCCTAAGTCCTTATCCGAGCGTGTCACTGATTACGTAGTGTCCACGTGGGCGCTCTCTAAAGGCATTGACACAGCCAAGGTATAATAGACCATCCACATGCTGTTGACTCTCCCTGACTGTCCCTCTGAATTGTTGTCTTATTCTTTTGCTTGTTTTGGCAGATCTGCGTTGTCTTCATAGAAAATTCTTCCATCACTCTGTTTTGCATGTTTTGTTTGCCTTAGCTTCTAGCCTTCATGATTTCTTCAGCAGCTTTGCCACGAGGTCCATCCATGCCAGGGGGCGTATGTAGAGAACAGAGTTCTAGTTTTCAGCACTGCTTGATATCTTTCCCTCAGGCTTTACATTCCTTATTCATACATTTCAGCATTGCTTTACGCAACAATTTTTGGTAACATGACGACAATATTTCAACAGATGTACTCGACCTCAGCTCGTTACCACGAAATGTCGGAATCTGTTCGACAATTTATGAAATTGCACGATGTGCCAAGGTCTCTCGCTGAACGAGTTACGGATTATGTGGTTTCTACTTGGGCCTTGAATAAAGGCATTGACACCTACAAAGTATGTAATTGAAAAGTAGTGTAGCTTCCTTGCGTCAGTACTGCGCTTTGGTTTGCACATTTGGGGAAAGTTCGCCTTGTACACACACCACAAACATTACACATCAAAAAGCACCTATTCTAACACATGGCACAAATTCGTGGAGTTGATTGGGTTACGATTACGACTACGAGATGCTTTCGATCACATTAATATAAAATGTGTGCTTTTATTCTGAACTGTACAAAATGAGATCTAGAGGTTCCATACAAAAATAGGAATCGAAATAGGATGGGGATGTTACGGGACTTACTGGGAAAGCAACTGGACTGCATGAGGGACAAAACCACTCACACACACAATTCGTGTTATTTAAGTGCAATCATACATATGGTGCACTGCAGGGTTCACTTTGTGGCGCCTAGCTATAGTTTTATAGTTTTTTTGCTGCAGTCCTTTCTTTATAAGAACTGATTTGCTGTCTGTACTACATGTATGTGTTACTTTTGGTTATTAGATACTCTTATTATTTGCATGTTTAATGTTGTCAGAGATGCATTTGTATCCAACGTGTATTTTTGTCTTGATTATCCGCATTCAGCATCCTTCATTCAAAGGACTTCATTTATTACTCAATGGAAAGAAGTGAAATACCCTTGGACCAAGGATGGCATTCAGGACAACACACATCTTGATTCACAAGGTTTCTTGATCAGTTGCTCCAACTTTAACACCTTGTTAAAAACACCTTGGAAGTCAAAGATGGGTAATTTCAACACAGTTCTCTCCTGATCTCTATAAACTGTATATTGGATACTTATCTATCTTTATATTGTTTTTGTTCACAACTATATATGCTTTATTACTATGAGATGCGAATATGCATGCATTCGTTTCGTATATTGCTTGCAACACCGCACTGTACCACCAAACAGCCCGTGGTTATAGCAGATAGATGGACGTAGGCTGGACGGATTTTTGTGCATGCTAACGTTTACTAGATTTCTTTTAATGTTTTCTCATCGGCACTTTCTTAAAAATACCAACAATATTTTAAGATTCAAACATTTTATGTCCTTATTACTGGTGTACTCTTTGAGAGTCTAAGAGTCTTAGATAGATGTTTTCGTTTTCTTTCTGTGTCCGGTGACAATTTTAGTCCTTTTCTTTTGGCATTTGTCCATTTGTCCACCTACATGTAATATGAATAACAACAATAGTCCCAATTCTATCCAAGGGAATTAATTGAATGACGCCAAGTCGTAGCATTGTCATACAATTCTCGTGAAAACAAGCATTATTTGAATTGATTTTTATTAAAAGTGTCCTTCAGTTTTTTGACAAAAGTTGTCGTGACAATATTTAACAAAACTTGCCATGTTGTAGTTGTTGTAATCAGCTAGCTAGAATATCATACACCTCAAGTTTTTATAAAGTAATATAAGATAATTATTTATAGCATGACTGTATTACAGCAATGCTTCATATTTTAAGTAAACATATGTCACAGTATACTGTTGTGTATAGTAACAAACATCGTCAATCAATATCAAACTCTTTGTTTTATCTCAAATTATCAATTGCTTGAAAATGAAAACCTACTTTGGTACCATATTTAGATTCTCGAAACAGCTTGATATCAAATAATTATAATTATTTAAACGAAACACAATCTATGTAAATTATATATTTCAAAAATATTCCAGGTGTTAAATTACTGTCCAAAAGATATGAAGGCAGATATATGCGTACACCTGAATAGGAAGGTGTTCAACGAGCACCCTGCGTTCAGATTAGCCAGTGATGGATGTCTCCGTGCCCTCGCCATGCACTTTACCATGAGCCATAGTGCCCCGGGGGACCTCCTGTTTCATCAGGGAGAGAGTCTGGATGCCTTGTGTTTCATTGTCAGCGGTTCCCTAGAAGTCATTCAGGATGACGAAGTGGTTGCCATTTTGAGTAAGTAGACTAGAGGGACGCTATGTAACATACCATGTAAAAAATAGAAAGATTAATAGTATATTGTTCAGGCCCGTAGCCAGGGGGGTTCGCAGGGTTCCCCCCTGGCCAAAAATTCTTTCAAAATCATGCAGTTTTTCACCATTTTGAGCACTTCTCAAGTGATTTTAGCCATATTTGGGCCAAATTTGTCAAATGTGAACCCCCCCTGGAAATCCTGGCTACGGGCCTGGTTGTTTGTTCTTGAAACTAAATTGAAATAAGAAAACAGAACTCCGAACTCCGAACTCCTCAACAGTATTTCTTTCAAAATGACAATTCAATTCTATTTTGATAAGACATCTATCTTTTCCTCGAAATATAACCAATTACCAAATCCACCGATAACATAATCATCATATATTTAGGTAAAGGCGATGTGTTCGGGGACTGTTTCTGGAAGGAGAACTCAATTGGGCAATCAACGGCGAATGTCAGGGGATTGACGTACTGTGATCTCCATATTATAAAGCGAGATCGATTGATTGAAGTCTTGGAATTCTACCATGCATTTTCCAACTCGTTCGCCCGCAATCTTACGCTAACCTACAACCTTAGGCATAGGGTGAGTGGAGAATTCATCAATCATCAACATGGCTCTAATGCAGTCTTAGTATTTTGTTTTGTGAATTTGAAGCTATCACTAGCATATAATATTAATTGGATAAACAGCGTTGTTTTGTTTAGGAAAAATTATAGTACACCGAGAATATAGTCCCTTGATTTATGGACCTATATTTATAAGAATTGTTCTGTTAAATATTGACATTTATGAGATATGAATAAATATAGCCATTTTATAAACAATTTTCCTCACGCGACATCTTTAAATCATTTTCAAGATTTCGATTAGTATTGCAAAATTCAGATACCAATCATTCTGATACTCATTCCATCTTTCTGCCTTCAATATATTCTTCTAGGATAAGCTAAGATTCATTTGATAAGCTTCACAATTTTTCAGAAACTACAACAAGGATTGTGCCATAATTGGTATAACTTGATTGAACGTTATACCGCTACCGTCCTCATTCCTTCTTATTATTGCTTTTGTATTTGGTGCTTTTTAGTTAACAATGGACATGATTCTGATATAATATGTCGCTTTATTTCCAGTTGATATTCCGTAAAGTGTCAGATGTAAAGCGCGAAAAGGAATTGATGGAAACCAGGAAAAACGACCCACCTTTGGAGTTACACAATGACCACCCTGTTAGAAAGTTAATCTCTAGATTCAGGAAGATTAGTGACAATAAAACCACTTTGGGCGTTCCTGGTGACGCAGAGAGAGGAGATAGTCGGGCCTCTAGCGCTAATAGCGAGGATAGAAGCACGCCACTTCTATCTAATATAGCTGAAAACGCATCAAAATCTATGCCCATTAAACGTAACGGTGGGCTCAGCAAGTGGGGGAAATTAATGGGCGGTGGTGGTGGTGGAGCTAAGACCACCACGGAGGATGAGGTAACAAAGGATAATGCAGTCAATGCTAAAAAGGAGGAGGTCAAAGAGGCTGCAGCAAAACCTGCACCGAGACCAGCTATGTCAAAATGGGGGAAGATGTTTGGAAACAAAACGGATACTCAGACAACAACGATAGATGAATCTGAGGAAGAACCCAAACCTAAGCCATCGATACTGAAGCCAACAAAACCTAATCATGATATTAAAAGTAACCTTAAAAAGACTGATTCAACCGACAGTGGTATACTGCGGAGTGATCAGAAGTTAGATCAGCTGAGTGGATTGGACACCGATGATCATTCTACCAATGCTGATAATCATAGTCGTGATATGTTCTCAGCAAATAGCACACTCTCTGCCTCTGAACAACAGCTAATAACATCGTTATATGATATCAAACTTGAAATTAAGGATGAGATCGAATCACTTAATAACAAAATGAGTAAAATAGATGGCCATATAGGTGATATTCTAAAGATGTTTTCTCAAAACTCATCGCCTTATTCGTCATCTGTTCAGAGTTCAATAAGCTCTCGTGTCAATTCTTCAAACAATAGTACAGGAAGTAATAGTATAACTGCTTCACCGAGACATGGACTTAATGCCTCCCCGTATCATAGCAGTGCAGGGGACTCGGAAGCTCGTATTACCCCTATAGAAACGACGCCAAGAGACACAGGAACCAGTAGAGTAACTCCGCCGCCTGATAAGGGTAAACGGAAAGGCTCGGCGGGATCAAATGGGTCGAGTAGCTCTAGAAAAGGTTCGGCTGGTACAGGCAGGATGTCCCCAAGGGTAGCACCTGCCCCAGAGGGCCCTACCCCAGACACTAGACATTCAAAAGTTAAAAAGGACTCTGGGATGAATGCTAGAATGAAGGACGCTAAAACTAGATTGAATCGCGCTTCGAGTGTTTTGAAGGAAGATGACCAAAGTGCTACCAGAGTAGTTGGGCCGCTTGATGATAAAATTAATATTAAAGACATGGATTTAGATATTTTATAACAAGAGTATATACTTGGATGTGTATGGTTTACACAGACAAATTTATAACGTGTATATAATATCGATATATATATATATTTCAAATGTATATAAAGTTCATTTAAGATCTGCACCTTTGTTTAGAGAATGACTTCAAGACGTGCAATAAGAGGTTTCTTTTAGGAATTATGCAATATCATATTGTATAATACACGAATCACGTGAATTATAACGCATAGCCTATGGTCACAAATGTGTATCTACGCAAAAATCTGATTCTTCAAGCTGGATATCTAATCTTTGAGAATGGGAAATTCATTAGTGAACGTTCGACGTGGTGAGTGGCTCTGATCTCGAGATGAAATAGGAACATATAGTGGTAACTTTTGAATTCAACGTGATATGGTTAACGACAGGTTCATGTCACAAATCTTATAGGCCAATCATGCATATAACAGTTTCTATAATAGCCTCTAAGTTCTCTACCCTTGTATTCGCGAATGCAACTTTCGGCTGTCGGCTACCGGGTTAACTTATTAATTAACTCATAGAGTAACCCGTCATTTTGAACTTGATTTAACGAACAGCTCGTTAGTCGACGAACAATTGTCAGCAATCGCATAGTTTTTTTTATGTCACTGTAACGATAAATAATGATAAAGCCGTTCGGTTGAATTAGCGAATAGATCGCAAGTCAAGTTACTTGCTGCTAAATAGGCAGATTATCCCTTATTTAGGCAAGCGATTTGGTTTGACCAAGGGAAAAATCAATACCCGGTGATTTCAGCGGGAAGTGGCGTTTTTGACGCAATAGCTTGCAGCAATTGCCATCAAATTGTAATGAACCCGGTAGCCGCGAACCGAAAGTTGCATTCGCGAATACAAGCTTTGGCTGTGCAATGTTTAAGGTTAAACAAATACTTCAATGACTGTTTTAATCATGAATAATCTGTTGGAAAAATGACGATCCCCAGAAATTATACTTAACGTTCTGATATAGGTGATATTATATGTCACATATTATATGACTCTGTTGAAATAGTTGATGTATTGTTGATCAGTCAGCTTAAGCTTTTAATCTTACTACTTATACAAATTATAACATTTTTCTATTCAACATTTTCTTATTATTGTATTACTAAATGCGCAATGATGGTCAGTTATAGCCGCCACACATGTTAACATTTGAGAGGGGACAGTAGACCTTTTATATTGACACGCTTAGCATAGGGCCTCACACCGTGACTTGATTATGGCGGAAGGGGTAGCAACCTAGACTTCATATAATAAGTTATTTACACTACTTGAATACTCACAATTAAGAGCAGACGAAAAGGTTAATCATTTAGAGCGACCAAACGTGTAATCAAACCGGTTCGAGCTTATGGATCCGTTGGTATTTGGTAGTCAGAAGAACGGAAAAACTCTGAAGATATATTTTTTCATGATAGTAAATAATACATATGTAAATATACAATATTTGTTAGATTTTATTATGACCGTATAAAATTTTAGGGAGTACATTCACATAATAAATATTTGACCTCCTTGTTTATTGATATATATATATTATATATAAATATTAATTTAACATTAAGTCATCAGCACTTGTGTTAAATGAAATTAGGGAACACGAAGTTAAGATACACGTTTTTAAAACATGTACGTGAACGTGTAGAATTATAGTCCTCTGTAGATAAGTTCTCCCATTTGGACTGTTTACTTGGCCGATTGAGTATAAAGGTTTACGGAAAATAATTGTAATTAGGCCCCTGGAAAAGTGAATTGAGAGCGAGAGAGTAATCCCCTGGGGTTGAAATATTACACCCTCACGTACAGGTTATCTCAAAACGTGTAACTTAACCTCCCTATTTTCTCAAGTGATGCGAACGCACTAAGTGGGTGGACAAGTCCATGGCTAAAATGTTAATATTGTTTAATGTACATACAATTTTATTTTTTGTCAAAGTATATAATTATTTCAAAGTTACCACACATTTCAAATAGTGTGGGGTTATTTATGTTTGTTATTCTCTAACTCATATCATAATATGAGACTGTTATTTTGTTTTTTTTGAATATGTGTCAAAAATGATATTACAGTTCATCAACCATGTTATGATCGTGTACATAATATCAGTGATGCATATGTAACTTGTTAGCATCTAAAGCATTCCCCGAGCGTACGCGGAAACACACACCACTTTCCCTTCATAGTCTTCATTCGCTTGGAGCCGTGGTAAAAAATAATCAGTTGAGTTGCATAATTTTGAAATAACACAGAGATTTCGCTCAAATACGTGAAAGCAAAACTTATGTTTATGCGGATAGCTATATGTTATAAGTAAAAGTGAATTGAAGTTTGTCGTTTTGCAAAAATATGTACTCATAAGTCATATAGAAATGTATATTTCTTCGATCAATTCTAATGTTCTTTTCACCAAGAATGATACGTTTTCTCCAAATTTCTTGTTCATAAGTTGGATTAGACAGTAATATGACTTCATGGCAAATATCACGATGATGCCCCACCATTAACTTTGTCCAAACGAGATAAGTATTTTTTCACTTATAAACAACCCTTTTTAGTGATGGGCCGGCCGAATGAATGGATAGAGCTACGCGACAAGTGATGACTGATAGTACACACACTTTAAACGTTAAAAACATAAGGGATCAATATTAAAGACGCTCTAAGTACGGTTGCGAAATCTCTCTGTTGATAATGTTAATTCTAAGATGATCCACCTGAGGTTACGGTGTATATGTATATATATTATAATATGATTAACCCGTTATTAATGCTTTAACGGCGTGGCATCATTGTCTAATGTTAATTGTGCCAATATTGTGTTTTGCCAGAAAGGATTGCAACAGCTTTAGATTTCTTATTGCTGGTAACCCACTAGCCTTACCTAAGTCTGTATTATTTTTTTATTTTCTTGATTTTCAATTAAATACATAATAGAAATCAAGATAAGTAAAAGAGACCGATTTGGGCAAGGCAAGTAACCCATCTGAGTTCTTTATTTGAATATTTGAAGATACTAACAATTGCAAGCTAGGTTGTGCTAAAATACTCTATTTGTTAATACTATTATCCTCCTGGTATTCTACTAGAAATGTAGATGCAAGTAAAATGTATATTCATACCATATAGATTGCACTTCTTAAAAGTGTTTGCTTACAATTTCTCTCTTGCAGTTTATAAATAATTCTTATATTTGTACATCTAGCTCAAATAACATGTGAAATAAAATATTTCTAGAAATAATGATTTGCTTATCTTCATGTATTTTTCACATGGTCAAGTAAGATTCAGTTCGCTATCAATTTTGTTGAAACTGTGTACATTTCGTTGGCCTAAAATGGTACTGGTTGGTCAAAAGTATGGTAATTACATTATATCTTAAAAAGCATGTGCCAGAAATACTCCAGCGCAACTGTAATACAGAAAACAGACGACATTACCAATGTCAGAAATTTGAAAGGAATGGCAGCTTTTGTTTAGAAATAACACGAACCCAGATTTTCATACTTTATTGTAAGATGTCACTACTGCTTAAAATTTAATATAGAAAAATACTAATAAAAGTATAGATTTTGTTTTGGGGCACCCTGTATTTATCGAGTATATGTCACCTCTTCTATAAAATCATATAGTTTAAATAAGCTCAATTATTTCGCTGAGGTTCTCCGCTTCAGCCACAACTGCACTTGGTATTTCAAGTAAAAGTGTTGACTGAGTAGCAGCAATATCTTTTCCATCTTTTGAAAGTGTTCTTGGGTCAAATAGCTGACCCTCTGCAATTGTCATGTTGAACACATCGTTGTCATTTTCGTCATCAAATGATTCAACACGAAGTGACCCAGTTAACACATAAATCAAGATATCCAAAGTTTTATCTTGCGAAAATGTGGAGTCTTTTTTCAAATGTTTCACTGTGCTTTTTGTCGCAATGTGCCAAAGATTTTGAACGGTGAAGTTTGCAAATCTGTCAATATTTCTCGATTTTAAATTCAAGAGTATTGTTTCATATTGAAGAAAGGCTTTATGTTTAATGTATAAGTTCTCATCTCGACGAGATATTCGTTCTTTGCAGGATTTTTGTTCATATTCCCAAGCTTGACCAGCATCCCCCGTTCTTACTTCGGCTACACTCTCGATTGTATTCTTTTGGATCACAATTATCTGGCAAATGGAATGTGCTCTTAGCGTAAAGGGTCTCACTTCACCTGATAACAAACCCTCCTCGCCGATCCATATCGGAAATGTATCTAATGAGGGCCCAATACGTTGAATAAGATTGTTTTGCTCGTATATCCCTATTTCTCCCCTAAGGACAACAAGTAAGGCTTCGGAGGGATCGCCTTCCATAATAAGCTTTGCCTTGTTTGGGTATATTATAATAGGGTTTCTCATGTAATCGACCAACATCTGTAGTGAAATAAGTCCCCATTTTCTAAAAAGTGGGATTCGTTGTAAGACTCTTACAGTAATTCTCCTAGCTATATGTTCCCTTTCTTTTCCTGTACACGCAAGAAACATTCGTTTGACTAACCATTCGTCCATGGTAATTTCAACTGAGAGAATAGTTGGTGTTAAAGACGATTTACTCAGAAATAATAGCTTTGTATCTTTTTTAGCACGACATGTTGCGGCACATGGCTTTTCGAATACTGTTGGAACATCACCAACAAATTCCCCTTTCTGCAAGCCTGCGACTATTAAGCGATCTTTATCAGATAAAAGTTCGATAGTTCCGTCCAATATGATAAATATTCCTTCCATGGTCATATCTCCCTGCGCTCTTGCGATAATGGTAGATTTTTTAACTTTATAAAGTTCCCAAGACATAGATATTTCTTCGAGGGGAACATTGTTGTAACCTTTATACACCACTGGCAACCTATTTAAACAATTTGATGCAAGTTCAACCTCATCTTCTGATAAGCGTTCACCTGGTTTGCCGATTCGAACAAGAGCAGTAGAAACACCATTCCCCATTTCCACTTGGTTGGTTGATTTGTTGAGTGTGTTCTATCCATTAGGCATGATCATTTTGTTGCGATTTTTGTTTTCTTTAACGGTTGCCAGGTTGTTGTAAATTTCGCTCAACAGTATGACGTCACATTAGCATATAGTTCACATTTCGATGCATGTATGACGTATTTCACAGAATCGTATGTTCAAGCCGACGGTGTGACGTTAATTTTACGTTTCGATGTGAACGTGTTCTATCACTGTTCAGAAAAACAAACCACAAAATAAATATAAAATGCACTGTCTAGAGGAAGGGTCTCGAATTTCGATATCTTTAAAGTGAGATGGTGCTCCGTTATAAATCTGAATAATGAGATTTTTACATTGGGTATCTCGATTTGCCAATACTAGGCCTAGATCTATTATTATATGTTCTTTCGATATGGCCTTGGAAACTCTCACATCATAGCAATGTCTGTATCATTCAACAATGAAACTTTGTGCAAGAGTCAAGTTGGCGAAGCATCAATTTCAATCTGTAGAGTCAAGTTGTCACCTTGACAACCGTATACGGAATGACCTTGTATCCGGCGATTGGCGATTAGTGTTTTATAAGATAATTGACGCCGAAATCAATATTTAGGCCCAATAAGATATTTTGTAATTTCTAAGAAAAGATAGCTTGCCCCCACAAACCTGCCTTTCGCTTATTTCATTTTCATTTTCACTCTGCGCCCATTAAAAGATGTCGTTGATATTCGTAATTGATGATGAAGTAAGGCAAAAGAACATTGATAGACTTGTTAGACTATAATTTAGATATATCCGAAAGAGCGTATAGACCAACCTAAATATACTAGCGAGTTACCATGATGTTACATGTGCATGAAACACAAGAAAATAATTAGTAATTAATTATTAAATGTCGGAATTAATGGCAATTTGAAATAAGATTTGATCAAAAATGAAAACAACAAACATGACTTTATACTATGTGTTGTAGAAACCACGCTCTTGGTTATCTTCACATTTTATTATCAATACTAAATTAAAATGATTATTAATTGTTTGAAATGACATTTCTCCGGCCAAAGATCGGTCTATACCAACTAAATGTTCAAGTGCAGGATTAAGACTAGGCCTATCAGCTGTAGCTACGAAAATGTAATATGATATTGTAGGAATTAGTGGGTTCTTCTCTGGCTCTACACAAGCTATACTAGCTGGTGCAGTGGGTAATATTACTGAATATAGAAATTTCCCTGCTAGTCGGCTGTACAGTGTTCCTTCCTAACAGAAATTGGATAATTAGGATTGTACGAGTCTCATTCTGGGAAGTCTATTTTAGGAACAAAGTAGAAAAATATCATTGAATATTGAGATGACGTCTATAACGTTTGGATTGACACATTTACACATATACTCGTGAGAAGTGAGAAGTCGTCTTCGAACTCATGAAAAACCTCTCAAAAATAACATTGTACTTATGAATTTTGATCTCTTAGTGCGAGTTTATTACACACAGTTACTGTCGTTAAGTTGTAGGTGGATGTAAATATTTATGATCGCGGAATTCTTAGTGTGATGAATCGTCATGGTGATTGTTCGAAATCACTAGGTGTGTACAAGAGATGGATACTGCTCTTTGTATTTCTTTTTGGGGTTGTGATGTTCTCTACGAATATTTACAGATTTGCAAGCACTTTGTTAGGAAGGACTTCCAACACAAGGGTATTATATCTTTACGATCGATACGAACCAAGACACAAACCGAATTTATTATTAGGAACATCGGAAGAGCCTGCCAAAAATAGAACATCCAAACCAAATGATAAACCTACGGTATATCCATTAAGCACCCAAACACAGGTTGGAGATGGAAAAATATCAACGGTAGAAGCAAATAATCTTGCTATGTATGCAAAGCCAGATTTACACTCCGAATTTAATCCAAGGATAACTGTCAAAGAAAGAGCTTGGATGGTGGAGATATTCAAAGTCTTCATAGAGATTTGTGAAGAGAACAAATTAACCTATCTATTATATGGGGGCAGTTTACTAGGTTAGTATAATTGCTTTTCTTATTCTCGGACAGTTCAACTCAGTTCAGGGCTCCATTTGAAAAGCAACCCAACCCTGTTCATCATATATACGGAGCAAGACTGCGATGCCCTAAACCGACCACATATATGGTCATACGCTATGGCAATATGCGTCGGTTTTAACGCTTCCAGGGGGTAGCATCAAAAATACCAGATCACTTTGTACATTGTGTAACTCCAGCCTATTCAACTGCTGGATCACTATCGTTAGGCCTTGACATTTTTGGCAATTGTTAGTTTATTATAGTCACTATCAGACAGGGGGACGAATTTTCTCCTTGGGAAAAGCATTTATTTTCTAGGTCGGCTCCCTAGCTTGAACAAAGAAATGCCATATTGTGATTATATAGCCTAGTCTTGTATGATCGTGTTCATATTTTGGAAGCGCGTTGGTTGACTCATCAGAGTCGATATTCTATTGATCCATTGTTAATTATTGCGCTGGGCAGAGATCAAATTTGGCATTGTCTGATTGAGTGGGTAACCCATTCACAATACTGTTTCTTAGACTAGCTCCTCGGCTCTATTCACCTAGACGCTCTGCCCATATATTAGGGAGTTTAAGCTTGCAATGTTTTTTACAACCTAAGCGTGAACGGAAAATATTAAGCGATGCATTTGTATGGGCGATTAGTCATACGTATAGGTTGGCGTTTCGATTTTATATGCAAGCTTAACTCCCTATTGTATCATTTGCGGTGCCTCTTTCTACTGTGAGGTCTTCTTGGTTTCGATCCGTATATCAACCCTATGTTCCTGTGTTCCTCCCCGGTCTTGTGTGTGACCAATATGTTTTTCCGCCCCTGGATTCGACATAATTATAATATCAATAGGACAGAAATTACAAAGACATTAATAAATAGAAACTTGGCACAATAGTACAAATATCTAATCTACTGGTACAAATATTAATTATTCAATGAATGTAATTGATATTATACGACCTTGCTTCGGGTTACTTGCAATTGCTCTTTAATATACTTCTTGAAAGAGGTAAATGAGTTTGAAATAACGATAAAAATATCTAAATACTTAAATAAACAACAACAATAGGCCTATTTCATGCAGTTAACACTTTCAATATCAACTTAAAGTGTTCTAATTATGTCAGCAAGCACTTACCTGTACACTTAAGTTTATCAACGACTTTATATGTGTGTCATCAATTTGTTTCAGGGCTTTGAATCTGTGTATAAACCGATTTTTCCAAATTCTTTTCCAGGGAGTTTTCGTCACCATGACATAATTCCATGGGACGATGATTTCGACGTCTGGATGGACATCGGCGAGATAAAACGGATAAAGATGGCGCTAGCTTCGAGACTTCCGGTATATAACGGATCCTGGGACAACTTTAAATTGAGATATAAATTCTTCCACGTAAATCAGGGATATTTTGACAAATGCTGCTCCTGGCCTTGGCCAAGTATTGACATAAGTTTCTTCAGGAAATCGCCAACTGAGGTTGTAGAATACGATTCCGCTTGGGCTGCTAGGAACTTTAGATTCCAAAAAGATATTGTGTTTCCACTCCAGAAAGGGCAATTTATTGACAATATGTCCGTAAATGTGCCATTTGACACAAGTACATTCCTAAAAAAGACATACGATGTTAATTTTTGCTCAACAAATTCTTATGACCATGTTCATGGGAAAAAGGTAAAAGAAACGAAAGTAGAATGTAAGCAACTCTTAGACAAATATAACATGTACAATATTGAATAAAATGGAACTCTTTGTTCGAATTCCAACAATCAATTTCAAAGCACAACTTGGGCAATTAGGTTTGTTATGGATGCCTTGTAATTGCATGTCCAAAATAGAAGCCTGCTGGTAAGTTTGTTTGGATGCAAATGTACAAATGTGCAAATGTGTTTAGAAACAAAAAAATCTTTTAATACGGATCCACCAATTAATCTACAATCTACCCTGGTGTCTGTACATCAGTCAGGCTCGTAAGACACTTTTCTCTAAGGGGGGTGCGGTTTTTAGCTTACTAAAGAGAATATAAAATTGTCAATTTTTTTGCCGCGTAAATCAAATCGCGCAAGACAGAGGGGGGGGGGGGGGGGGTCAGTTACTCCCTATATTGGTTTGGAATTAACAAATGCAACTTCAAAACGTTTCAATTGTTTTGTGGGGGTGAGGAGTAGTCCACTCCCCCTAGAAAATTTTACAGTTTTGAGATGCTATTTGGTGCTTTCTGGGCACTTTCAAAGTGTAAGTTTCTAAGTAGTTCGCCACCACCACAAGAATAAGAGTTGAGTGAATAAAAACCGAACATTCAGGGGGGTATGGGGGTTCTCCCCCAGGACAATTTTGAAATTTGGTTGTATTTGGAGCGAATTTGCAACCATCTGGCACGCCTGTGCGTTATGAGTCAATAAGAAAAATGTGATTTTTTTTCAAATTCTTTTGGGGGTGTCAAAGAGGATGAGAGGGTGAAGTTGGGTGGGGTGCCAGTAGGGGAGCAAGAGGTTGTCCCCCAGAAACATTGACCATATCAAGGTGCTATTTGATGATGTCTGGGCACTTAAAAATGTCTGAGACAATACATGAAATACAGAATATTTTGTTTTGTGGGGGATGTGAGGGGTGGCTAACTCTCCTAAAAAAATTTACAATTTAAAGATGATATTTGGTGCTTCTGGGCACTTTTAAAGGTATTAGTCAATAAAAACATTGAAAAACAATCACAATTTTTTTCAAATTTTGGGGGTGTCAAAGGGGGGGGGGAGGAGTGCCAGAGGGGGAGGTGGGGCTGGGGTGCCAGAGGGGGATCAAGTATTTGTCCCCCATATCAAAATTTACAACATCAAGGTGCTATTCGATGAAGTTTGGGCACTTTAAAAGTGTCTGAGCCTAAAAGCGCATATTCCCCAAGAAAATTTTACAATTATAAGATACTATTTGGTGCTTTCTGGGCACTTTCAAAATGTATGAGTTAATAAAAAAAATTGAAAAATCTCAATAAACATTTAACACAACAGTGAAAATTAACCAAAAACAACGACACAAAACACATCTAAAAATTTAAGACAATAACAAAAAACACACAAAACAACAAACACAATCCACATCTAAAATGTCAATGACAAGTAATAAAGTATCTATTAAAAAATCACAAACAGAGGTGGAAAGTCACATTTCTAAAAAATATTTGCATCACTCTAAAATGGAGTGGTAAGATCAATATGTAAAAGTTCTACAACAGTACACAAGAAAGGTAGTAGAATTGCCAAGACTTTAGAATTGTCTTTAAAACATAAGCTGGAGAGGCCTTTCACTGACACACAAAAGGGGTTTTCTCGAAAATCCTTTTTGAACGACTCTATCTTAAGCCCAATTCTGTTAAGGTTCAAGACATCGTTTAAGTTGTGTAGCATTTCATTGCGAGCATCCTCAGTTTTGGAACAATCCAACAGTCCATGTGAAACCGAATCCGGAGTTAGCACGCCACAGTGCTCACACAGGTTTTCATCATTACTTAACGGAATTGTTAACAGTTTTGAGGCTACGGTGGCAAACTTTAGCAGACCAGGGACGACCTTTGAGTGTTTCCAAAGTAGACACGGTTCTATTGAATCTTGTATTTGTCTCAGTCGACTAAAACTAATATCATTAGAAGTTCTATCTTGCCATTCGGAGTTTTGTACTGAATTTATTGCATGTTTTACGATGTTTTTCCAAATTCTTTGTGGCGGAAAATACCCACTAATAGTCTGGGAGCAAAAGTCCAAATAAGAGGTTCTGTGTCCTTTTAAGAGGCGAGCTAAGCGACACATATTTTTATGAACTATACGTGATACTTACCAAGAAAAATGATGTTGGCAATTCTGGATCCGCGACGGCGTTGCTATGGTAACCAAGTGAATAAGCCATGCCCACTTATAGGGGCTCTTTTCAGTGTTTGGCCCCTATCTCCTTCATTATTGCTCAGATTTCGATGAAATTCACAACAAATGGAAGGTAATTGATAATGCAATCAAAATATATTAATGTGGCAATTCTGAATCCGCAGCAGCGTCACTATGGTAACAAAGTAAATATGCCACACCCATTTTTAGGGGCTCCTTTCAGTGTTTTGCCCATATCTTCGTCATTATTGCTCAGCTTTAGATGAAATTTACACCAAATGAAAGGTAATAGATAAAGCAATCATATATTTTATAAAATATGCAATTAGGGTAATTTGCGTCTTAATTATGACGTCATAACTGTTTGTTCTTGCATATTTTATCTTAATCAGGATGTATAACTCTGTGAAATTACTGTATTTAAAATGGTCAGTAATGCTTTCATCTAGTTTATTTCTTTTAGTTGAGTTTATAAGTTTATTTCATTCATACATGTATGGTCATAGTAAAATTGAATAAATGTAATGAAATATGTCCAATTCAAATAAAAAATGTTCAATTCACACTGTTGCTATGGTAACATCATGTAGCAAAACTGTCTGCTGTAAACAAGAATTCTTTAGGAAATGTTACATTTTGACCAGTTGACTGACATGTATTCTTTTCAAAATGTAATGACAAAATAATCGTATAACTATAGAAAATTATTTGATTTGGATTGTGTTATGTTATTATGTCATAAGGGCAATTATTAATCAGGGATGCTGCCAGCTTTCAGTCGGGGGGGAGGGGCGATCGTGGCATAAGCAACCCAAAAACGTTTTTAAGATGAATTTTACAAAAATTGATGCAACTTCCTTCAAAATTGAGCTAGAAGCTTCAAGTCAAAAGCATTTTAACCCAATAATGACAACATATTGAATGCATTAGTATTTTTTAAATCATTTTTATGTTTTTCTAACCTGGGTAACATAACTAAGAAAAAAATTGTTTTTGTTCTTGAGGCATCCCAAATACGGGATATAGACACAAGTGCCCATGATAACATTTTGGGTTAAGAGGTTATGATTTCGTGGTTGTAAAACCAATTTATAATATCATAACTTTAACAAACATGTAATTTTACACTGTCATTAACTAAAACTTAGTCTGTTTGTTATAATTCAATACTAAATAGGCCCCAGTGACATTCAAAAGCACGGCAGTGATCCGAAAAAGCATCCCAGTGCCCCAGAGTGACCCCCAAAAGCATTCTAGTGGCCCTTGTGCCCCCCCCCCAAGCATACTTGCGGCTCCTATGACTCCCAAAATCACCCTAGTGTCCCCCAGATGCCCCAAAAAGCATCCCAATAGCCCCCAGATGCCCCCCAAAAGCATTATAGTGGCCCCATGTGGTCCTCAAAAGCATCCTAGTTGTCCCAAGTGGCCCCCAAAAACAAATTAGTACTGCTATGAGGCCCTCAAAAGTATCCTAGTACCCCTCTGTGACCCATGACATCATCCCAGTGGCCCCCTGTGGCCCCAAAACGTTGCCCGAAAATAGTCTAGATGAAAACAAAGGATTTATCATTGAACCTTGTTTTGGAGTACGGTATATACAATGTTTTATTGCATTTTTTGATAGTTAGACATGTCCTGGTCAAAAAGCCACAAATAAGCAGTTGTGGTAGGTTGAGTGTTTTTTCTATTGTCTTTTTAAAATTATGTAATATTTCTGAAAGGGGGCGTGGCACATTTGGTAGTATTCATCTATTTAAATGGAGTTAAATATCCCTTATCAGTTATTTTTGTTTAATTTATGACTTGCAATAAACATATCTACCTGTGAATATTCTCTCTCTGAAAAAATACAGTAATTATGCAAATTAAGTCATTAAATCAACACTACCGGAATAATGTAAACAATGTAGAACAGAGATTTGGTATCATTGTAAATCTAAGAATATAAATGTGTTACAAGTGGAGTTAATTTCACTTGAATAACATAACCCTAAATTAGAGTAGAATAAATACGATCTAGTATTTCAATTATGAGTATAGGGGTAAAAGAAGTGTATAACAACTGTGTTTTTATGCATATTAATTAGCTTACTAATTAACATATAAATTTTAATTCCTTTTTTTACATTAACTCAATTTGATTATTTGTGCAATATAATACACTATATATGATATCAGTCTTAGCTTGTATTCGCAAATGCAACTAACGCCATCGGCTACCGGATTAACAACTATTTTATGGGAAACTCATTTAAATATGAATAGTACCTGCCACAATTCCATTCATATTTAAATGAATTGGTCATAAAATAGTAGGTCAATCCGGTAGTCACTAGCTGTGAGTTGCATTTGCGAATGTAAGCTTACATTTTACTCTTACTTCAAAAGGTAGTATTATTAATCTATTGTCACCTGATATCATTGAACCTAAACATATACAAGTATTTCATAACTTCAAAATATTTCCAAAAACAATAACCTTTAACATGTAATAGTAGATACAGTTGAAATTACACAACTTTGTTTATAAAATCTTATATTTTACTTTATTCAACTAAAATTATTTAATGTTCCTTCATTTCTTTTTTTTTAATTGTAATATGTAATCAAGTTCATTCTGATATGACACTAATCTTATTTTATTTAAGATTTAAATTTTAAAAATAAACTTCATTATAGAATATTGATTCCAAAAGATACCCCGTTCCGTTATTGTGAATTCGTATCTTTTCAGAAAAAACTATTATTCATAAATGGCCAATTAGTATTACTGTAATATTCTGAAGAAATAATTTTGCTCCTAGACACCCTGCTCTTGTTATAGATACGAACAGGACTAATACGCTACATATGAACACCGTAAATGGTTGAATTCTAT